AAAGACAAGGCAAATTCTCAGGGTGCAAATTGAAGCCATCAGAATGCATCGGAGAGGACCAATCAATTGCAAACGTCCAAAACTAACTGAAAAATGGGATTCGAGAGACAGAGCTAAGATACCGGTTTTCAGTCTCAATAACTACAGTATCCCCGTCTAGATTTTGGAGGTGCAAAGCAGCACAAAATCCGCTCTTTTGACCTAACGGAATGCAAAGCTCGGTCTAACGTTTCCTGTCATTTGCTCTTTCCTCCCAAAGACCTATTTTAAAAATATTCAGGGACTGGTTATTTCGTCTACCAATAGAAAAAAATCTAAAACCCCATCAACTTTCTAATCAAGCTTGAGTCCTACTCCTTGCTAAGATCTTTATAAAAGGCAGTGGAAGAAAAAGAGAGAAGAAAGAGAGAGAGAGAGAGAGAGAGAGAGAGAGAGAGAGAGAGAGAGAGAGAGAGAGAGAAAGAAAGAAAGAAAGAAAGAAAAAAGAAAGAAAGAAAGAAAGAAAGAAAGAAAGAAAAAGGAGGGAGGGAGGGAAGGTGGTAAAAAAGAAAGAAAGAAAAGAAAGAAAGAAAGAAAGAAAGAAAGAAAAAAAGAGGGGGAGGGTGGGAAAAAGAAAGAAAAGGAAGAAAGGAAGAAAAAAAAGGAAAGAAGAAGGAAGGAAGGAAGGAAGGAAGGAAGGAAGGAAGGAAGGAAGGAAGGAAAAGGAAGAAGGAAATCTTTTCCCAGGCTCCAAAATTATGCACACCCAATGCACACCCAGCTTTAAAAGTTCAGCTTACCTGTAAGCAGGTCTGGTGAATCTTTTCTCTTCATCTGAAGTGCAGGCTGGGTAATCATCTGCATCATAATTAAAGCAGTTATAAGGGTATTGTGTGTTATCAAACATTCTTTTTTCCTGGATTTCTTTCAGCTCCCGAGAAAGGAGGGAAGAGGTGGGAGAGCTGATGTTTCTTTATGAATGCTTCACTCCTCCCTTGCTCCTTCTCTTTCCTGCCCCCGGCCCCCCCACCCTCCTCTCTCTCTCTCTCTCTCTCTCTCTCTCTCTCTCTCTCACACACACACACACACACACACACACACACACACACACACACACACAGGACACCCTGGCACTTTCCTTCGGAGCCCCCAGTCCCAGGCAAAATATATTCCCCACGGCTGGTTCTCCTGCTCCATTCTCCCTTTGCGTCCAACAACGTGCTAGTAGAGAGGGACCTACTCACCCAGTTCGAATTGGGTGAAAATTCTCTCTTGAACCCTTTCAAGGAGGTTCAAAGCTTTCCAGAAAGCTTTCAACTTAGCGACTGTAGTAACCCTGGTAAAGGAGGCACCCGGGGGGAATCTGCTTGGGTGGTCCCAAGCGAGCAAGGACCTCTTAGACGTTGCTTGTCTACCGTGAAGAGTCAGGCGAGGTTAATAGGCTTGAAAAGGTGGGGTGATTGGTCCTTCTTCCTTGCCTTGCCTTCTCTGGCTTCAGTTTTTTTTAAGCAGAATGCAATGGGAGTGATAGGTCTTCCTTCCTTCCTTCCTTCCTTCCTTCCTTCCTTCCTTCCTTCCTTCCTTCCTTCCTTCCTTCCCCCTCCCTCATTTCCCTTCCTTCTGTCCCTCCCTCCCTCCTTTTCCTTCCTTCCATCCATCAACCCTTCCTCCCTCCCTCCCTCCTTTTCTTTCTTTCCTTCCATCCTTCCTTCCTCCTTCCCCCTCCCCACTCCCTCCCTCCTTTCCTTCCTTCCTTCCCCCCCCTCCCTCCCCCTCATTTTTCCTTCCTTTCTTCCATCTTCCCCTTTGTCCTTCCCTCCCTCCCTCCTTTCCTTCCTTCCTTCCATCCTTCAACCCCTTCCTTCCCCCCTCCCTCCTTTTCCTTCTTCCATCCTTCCTTCCCCTCCCCCTCCCTCCTTTTCCTTCCTCCTTTTCTTCCCTCCCTCCCTCCTTTTCCTTCCTTCCATCCTTCCTTCCTTCCATCCTTCCTTCCTTCTCTCTCCCTCCTTCTCTCCCTTTCTTTCTTTCTCCCTTTCTTCCTTCCTTCTCTCTCTTTTTCTTCTTTTCTTCCTTCCCCTTCTTTTCTTTCTTCCTCTTTCTTTCCTTTCCTTCTTTTCTTCTCTTTCTCTCTTTTTCTTTCTTTCTCTCTCCTTTCTTTCTTTCTTTCTTTCTTTCTTTCTTTCTTTCTTTCTTTCTTTCTTTCTTTCTTTCTCCCTCTCTCCCCCCCTCTCTCATCTATCTATCCATCCATCCTTCCATCCACCCACCCCCTACCAACCTACCTACCTACCTACCTACCTCTCTCTCTCCTCGAAATGCTGGTGGGTCGCTTGGGACAATTCTGTATAGGGCCCCACCTTTGGTTTTTAAAACAAATTGGGGATGGACAATTGAACGGAGGGCGGGGCGCTTCAAAGGAGAAGCACTGTCAGAGAGGAAAGTTTTTTTTGGGGGGGAAAAATTGAAAGCATAACAGCTGGAGGCAAGAGAGCTCCATGTGTGGGCTTTGATCTACCGGGTGAATTAGCTAATAACTCTCTGTGTTTGGCATCCAGTCCTGTAACAATTTTGATCGTCTTCCTCTCTTGTTCTCGCTTTCTTTCTCCTCTCTCTCCCTCCCCCTCCCCTCCCCTTTCCTGCTTTTCCCACCCTACACACATGCACACACACACACACACACACACACACACACACAGAGAGAGAGAGAGAGAGAGAGCCAGAAACAGATGCTTTGGGCTAACGATGGGCTGGTGGGGGTTCGCAGGGGTTCGAGAGAACCCCTAGCTAAGATTCTGTGCACTTCGGAGAACCCCCAAATCCCACTCCTGGCTGGCCCTGCCCTCCCCTGCCCTGCCCTCCCCTCCCAGGAGTCCCCAAGGGGCCCGTTTTGGATGTACGTAAGTGCAGGGCACGCGTGGAGACTCAGGGAAGGTGAAAAATGGGCCTACCGGAAGTTTGGGAAGGCCGGAAAAAGGCCCATTTCTAGCCTCCAGAAGGCCTCCGGAGCCTGGGGAGGCTGTTTTTGCCCTTCGGGAGGCTTGGGGAAAGCCTCCGGAGCCTGGGGAGGGCAAAAACAGCTTCCCCTGCCATGGTGCAGCAGGCTCACTAAGCCACACCCACCATGGCCACGCCCACACAGCAACCGGGCAGAGAACCCCTTGCCAAAATCTTTCCAATGAGGGATGTCAAATGAAAAGCAGCTTATTCAACAGTTCCCATGATAGGAAAAGGAGGGGAAAGTCCCTCGGATAAGGGTAAATGGTAGAGGGCTTCCCGCTCGAGCAGGGGGTTGGGCTAGAGGACCTCCAAGGTCCCCCCCCCCAGCTCTATTCTGACGGAGGTGTAGGTGAGAGGAGACTTCGAAGGGTCCAGGAGATCATTCAAAGAGGATGGTTCTTGCAACGTTGCGGTGGCTTTGGAAGACTCTTGTTGGATTTGAACCAGGATGGAAATGTGGGAATTCACCAGGAGTAAAAAAAAAAAAATAGAGAAAAAAAGTTTTCCGATTTGCTTTAAGTTTTTTTTCCAAGGGAGAAGAGAATGATGATGATGATGATGTGCTGGATTTGAGGACAACGTTAACTCATCGTCTGGGTTCGCGCCATCCATTGGGTCATGATTAAATGAACTGGGGTCAGAGAACAGAGTAAGCAAGCAGGTTAAGGTAGTTGTGTGAATCCAGATCTTGGCTTTGAATTTTCATTTGACTGGTGCTTCCTGGGATTGGAGGGTTGTCATGATACGTCCTCCAAGTTAGGTGAAGGATCCTGAGCACATGAAGAGCTCTTCTCTTCTCTTCTCTTCTCTTCTCTTCTCTTCTCTTCTCTTCTCTTCTCTTCTCTTCTCTTCTCTTCTTTTCTCTTCCCTTCCCTTCCCTTCTTTTCTCTTCCCTTCCCTTCCCTTCCCTTCTCTTCCCTTTCCTTCCCTTCTTCTCCTCTCCTCTCCTCTCCTCTCCTCTCCTCTCCTCTCCTCTCCTCTCCTCCTCTTCCCTTCCCTTTCCCTCCCCTCTTCTCTTCTCCCCTCTTCTCCCCTCTTCTCTTCTCTTCTCTTCTCTTCTCTTCCCTTCCCTTCCCTTCCCTTCCCTTCCCTTCCCTTTCCCTCCCCTCTTCTCTTCTCCCCTCTTCTCCCCTCTTCTCCCCTCTTCTCTTCTCTTCTCTTCTCTTCTCTTCTCTTCTCTTCTCTTCTCTTCTCTTCTCTTCCCTTCCCTTCCCTTCCCTTCCCTTCCCTTCCCTTCCCTTCTTCCCTTCCCTTCCCTCCTCCCCTCCTATGCCGTCCTCTTCTCTCCCTTTCCTACATCTTCTTTCTTCCTCTCCCTCCTCCTCTCAATTTGGATGCTAAGATTGCCTGTCTAGAAGGCCAGTTAAAAATTGCACTTCAATAATTATTTATGGGATCTGGGACCCACACAAGGCTTGTAAGAATCGCAGGAAATTTTGCCCCCTATGCATTTGAAATAATTGAGAGAATCTTATCAAAGTATTACCAAAATCCAGAATGTCTTGGATTCTATCACCAGAAGACCGGAAGTCTCTTTCTGCTGTGCTGACTGTTTAAGATACCCCCCCCACCCCCAAATAAAGAAATACCTGTAATACTTCCATTGCAATTAGCAGATTTCGAGTGTTTTGCAGAAAATGAAACGGAGTCCTCGTTTTCCTTTAGCATTCTGTTTGGCTGTTATAATTTTATCAATGTCACTGTAACCCAGGCAGGCTGCGATTGTAAAATTAAGATTTTTTTTTTTTCTAGGCTGCTTCCCCCTCCCTTCCCCCCTCCCCCTTGCCTTTTTCGAATGCATATCTCCGGTATGCAAAGCTATAAAAACCATTTGATCTGGGCGATTAAGCCGATGATGAAAATGTCGGGGAAGATTTGTTTTTAATATTTTTTGGTTAAAACAACATGAACCCAAATGGAAGTAAAAACTTCAAGTGAAATTGGGATGTTTTATCACGATGACAGCTTTGGAAAGGACTTTTCACCTGCAGCTGTGATCTGCTCATGAAGTCAGACTTTTTTGTGTGTGTGTGCGGATCATTTCATAACGGTTAGTGAAAGGGAGAGGAAAGAAAGAGAGAAGAGAGAGGGAAGGAAGGAAGGAGGGAGGGTGGGAGGAAGGAAGGAAGGAAGAAAAAAGAGGAAGGAGGGAGGGAGGGAGGGAGGAAGAAAAAGAGGAAGAAAGGAAGGAGGGAGGAAGAAGGAAGAAGAAAAAGAAGGAAGGAAGGAAGGAGGAAGGAAGGAAGGAGGGAGGGAGGAAGGAAGGAAGAAAAAAGGAAGGAAGGAAGGGAGGAAGAAAAAAGAAGGAAGGAAGGAGAAATGAAGAAAGGAAGGAGGGAGGAAGGAAGAAAAAAGGGAGGAAGGAAGGAAGGAAGAAAAAAGAAGGAAGGAAGGAAGAAAAAAGGAAGGGAGGAGGGAGGGAGGGAGGGAGGAAGAAAAAATAAGGAAGGAAGGAGAAAGTAAGAAAGGAAGGAGGGAGGAAGGAAGGAAGGAAGAAAAAAGGAAGGGAGGAAGGAAGGAAGGAAGAAAAAAGGAGGGAAGGAGGGAGGGAGGAAGGAAGGAAGAAAAAAGAAGGAAGGAAGGAAGGAAAGAGGAAGGAAGGAAGGAGGGAAGGAGGGAGGAGGAAGGAAGGCAGAAAAAAGGAAGGGAGGGAGGAAGAAATACAGGGATGGCGAACCTTTTCCATACCCAGTGCCGAAAAGCTCATGTGGAAACATTGCGCATGTGCAGTTGCCCGCACTTGTTGGGACCACGCTCTGGAAAAGCCAAAGCTCTGGGTTCTAGAGCCCATGCATGCACTTCCGACGATCAGCTGGCTGGCACGCATGTGCACTGCCGTGCACATGAAGGACAGCTGATTGTCACGCGTGCATGCACACTAGAAACTCGGAAGACAAACAGGCAAGGCCACGTGTGCTGGGCGACATAGCTTTGCGTGCCACTTTGGGCATACGTGCCATAGGTTCGCCATCACAGATATATTACATTTGCCCAAAGGCAGCCCGGTTTCTGTTGTCTGTCTGTCTGTCTGTCTGTCCCTCTCTCTCTCTCCCTTTCCCTCCCCCCCCTCTCTCTCTTATATTTATCCTATTTATCCCATCTCTCCTATCTCTCCATGTCTCCTGTCTATCCATCTATCTATCATCTACTTATTATCTATTCATCCATCCATCCATCCATCCATCTCTATCCGAGAGCCATGGTGGCGCAGTGGTGAGAATGCAGTATTGCAGGCGAACACTGCCAGCAGTTCGATCCTGACTCAAGGTCGACTCGGTCTTCCATCCTTCCGAGAAAATGAGGACCCAGATTGTTCGGGGGGGGGAGAAGTGGTTGACTCTGTAAACCACTTAGAGAGGACAGTGAAAAGCACTGTGAAGCGGTATATAAGTCTAAGTGCTATGGCTGTAGCTATCGCCTGGTCT